ATGATGACTCAAAGTAATTAGGACAGCAAAAAGGAACGTCTGTTTTTGGCCATCAAGGTTTAATGACCCCCATCTCTCCCTTTCTAGATTAAACTTATAACCATCACTCCGATTGTGCCTCTTACGGTACCTAATTTTATATACATCGTCTCTCAGGAATCCGATCTCATTGGCTGCCGTGTAAGGGCAGTTCGCTTCGGGTTTTATTTTACCTTTTGAGTTTCAGATTTGCTTGCTTAGATGGACTGCTATTTAAGATGACAAGCAAAACTGTGATTTTGTCACTTTACCCCCTGACTAACGGACTATGACTGATCGTTTCAATATCTCACTCACACGTGTACAGGCATACATCTCATCAATTCAGCCAGGATTACGCAATTTCGGTAATGCTTTTCCTTGGGCCGTTAGCCATTGATGATCTGGCGCTGATGTTGTGCTGTCTTTTAATTACGCTGGATTATAGCCGGTATTTCATACGGACGTCAACACATGCAAGCACAGAGGCACACTCTAATATAAAATAATTAACCAAATCATTTTATATATATATTTATGTTTGAATAACTTTTTGCTATGAGCAAAGGTAGGCATGGTGGACATATCTGACCAGTCTTCTTGACTTAGTGTTAACTGGAGACATTTGCAAGAATTAATCCCAGCTATGATCATTTTCGTCATATGACGAATGAAAACTAAGACAATTTTCACCCGAACCGAACGTGGATGCCATGTGGACGGAAATCAGCCGTCGTCTTCTGTTGAGATCGACCTTTGAATCTCTTCATCACGAACGTTCACACGAAATGAAATTCTCCAAAAAATGTTATATCAAGCGATTAATCTAAACACGCTTTTTACGTGTATATGAGTGCTTACTTATTAGAGTCGGAATGATGTTACCTCATCCGGAAAACTCGACATGACAACACTCCTAAACTGTGCAGTCTACTTCGTCCCAGCAAGTAAGGCCTTGTTGATGTGTTTTTACAGCTGTTGCACCTTCAGAATCTCTGGCAAACTAAAGTCTGCTCGGATGATGAATAAAGTCTTCTTTCATTATCGTCCTCTGCTGGAGCGTGAAATGAAGCCATCTGCAAATGG